AGAGAATTCCGTTTTGTTTTCCATTTTAAAAAGAAACACTTGCTCATTATTTTTAAAATGGAAACACTACAAAAATAGGTAATGTGGAAAGTGAAACCTTCTCCCCCGCCAAGCCTCTGTTCCTCTCTGCTTCCTCCCTGGGGTTCAGCAGCCCGGGGCCACCACCCGTGGTGTGGGTCACCCAGGACACCAGATGACGGCTCTGCTGCCTTCCAGACATTCGCCTAGAATCGGTTTTAACTTCTATGCTGCTTAAAGAGAAACAAAACCAAATTCTCAACCATATTCTCAACAGTTCTCTAGAGAAATAGAATAGAACCAAATAGGTAGATAGACAAGTAGATTGCTGCGTCTCTAAAGGTAGAGAGATTTATGCCAAGGAATTGGCTCCCACCAGTATAGAGACCAGCAAGTCCAAAAGGTACAGGGCAGACCAGCAGGCTGAGTCCTGAGGATGAGCTGGTGCAAGCACCAAGGCGCAGGGTTCTTTTCTGCCTGGGGAGAAGATGAGGCTCCACCCACATTATGGAAAGCAGTATGCCTCGCTAAAAAGTCCACCAGTTAGCTGAGTGTGGTGACACAATCTCAACATGCAGGAGGCCAAGGCAGGAGGATTGCTGAGTTTGAGGACAACCTGGGCTACATAGACCCAGCCTCAAAAAAGACAAAACAACAAAACAAACCAGAACAAAAATTCACCAGTTTAATCTAATCCAGTCAAGTTGACCCATGAAACCAACTGTCACAGGATCATTCTATATAAACATTTAGCAATGTATTTCTCTTTTAGTACTACAAATATGTTAATATCTGTTATTAGTAGTGCTGTTCAAATGCATTAGGTATGTGGTGAGGTGCGTGTGTGTGTCTGTATGTATGTATGTATTACTGAACGCTGAACCCAAGGCTTTTGCACTGACCTTCACGCCCAGACCTTGAGACAAGATTTCACTAAGTTGCTAAATTGTCCATGCTGGACTCAAACTCGGAATCCTCCTGCCTCAGCCTGCTAGAGTGCCGGGGTTACAGATGTGTGCCTCCATATCCACTTCAATGCTATTTGAAGTGCCTTTCTGGGTTGGTCTTGCCACTGGTTGGTTCCCAATAATGATGGATAGTTTTTTTGTTTTTTTTGTTTGTTTGTTTGTTTGTTTGTTTGTTTAATGGACGGTGTTGAATTCAGTGATGTCCCTCTTACTTCATCTGCAGGGGATCCGGAAGTGGGGAAAATTGTCTTGTTTCTCCAAGCGCTAGGGAATGTGTGTTCCTGGCCATACTCCAGGGGCAAGGGAGTCCTTCTCTCAGTTCCCTTCACTTGTCCACGCATCCCCAAAGTATCCTCTGTGCCCCTGGCATGTGCTGGTCATCATTCTGGATGCAGTAAAGACACACTGAGCAAGACCCAGCCTGCCCCGCTGCGCAGCAGTGTGGGGTCTGTAGATGAGGAAGTCGGGGAGAGGATGTGGGAGCTGTACTATTTCTGGTGGTCAGGGCTAGTGTCTCCGAGGAGACAACCTTGGACGAACAAAGCCCAAATGAGCTGTGGGCAGGTGCAGAGCAGCCCAGGCAGAGGCAAGGCAGGGCTGCTGAGCCGCCCAGGACCCCGGAGAGTGTGTGAGGTGACAGTGAGCAGCAGGAGGAGGACAGTGAAGACAGAGGCCTCCGTCGAGGAGTTTTGCTACCAAGGGCAGCAGGGCGTGATGGCAGCTGTGAGCAGAGGGCTGCATGGGCCCGGAAGGGCTTGGGAAGGAGAACTGTCCAGTGTGGCTGCCCTGTGCTGTGGTAATGCCACCAAGGGGTCCAGGGGTGCCTCGGGGGAAGGCAGCAGTGGCCCTGAGAAGGGAGAGGGGAGGACCGCGCTGAGGAGGAGCCAGCACCTGGGTGACGCGTCCCCCACCTGCTGGCCTGGTGTGGGGTGAGCAGGGCCAGGGGGAGGGGGAGGCACAACTTTCGTGGCCAGAGGCGGGGAGATGATTCCGTTTGTGCTGGCGGGGGTGGGGGGCAGTGTGAAGAGGGCAGAGAGGTGCAAGGACAGAGAGGACTCTGCAGGGGTGGCACGGTCCCCAGGGGGCACACTGGTGAGGGAAGTGATGTGAGATGGGCAGGATTCCGGGGACCTGAATCAGGGGCTGGATGTGTGAGGAAACCCAGGCAGCAGACCTGGGATCTTTCCAGCGAGGCCCAGCTGCTCCAGTGTGGAGCTAGGGGCAAGTGGGTCCCTGCAGCCTCCCTGCACCTTGATGTGGCAACCTAGGCTGGTAGGCAGACCACTCTGCCTATGGAGCTGTCTGTCCAGCAGTGGGTGGGCAGCCAAAGCCTGGGACCAGCTGGTCACCTGGGGCCCTTGATGGTTGCAGGCATCACGCCTGGCCTGCGTTCTGGCCTCTGGTGGCGGTCAAGCAATGACAGAGCTGCACATGGCCCCAGCACTTCCTGTCACGTGGGGAAGCAGGGCTGTTCCTCGGTACTGGCTACTGGAGCAGGAGCAGGTAAGAACAGGGCTCCAAGGACACTTTGACCCAGCCCCTGTCCTCTCTGTGACAAAGCGGCTTCAGGACACTGGCCGACGCTTCCCCATTCCTGGTGAGCTTCTCCCTAGGACACACTCCAGGCTGACGCTGGCCTTGCTGGCCTTGGTGCCAGTTATGAACCTCTATAGGACTTCTATAAAGAGCTTACAAGGTGACTTTGCAGGGGAGCTGGAGTTGGGATGTGTCCCCCACCTGCTGGCCTGGCAAGGGCGCTGTGTGCTACAGGCCATGTCCTTGGGGAAGCCTGGTAGGGCTTTGTAAGTGGCACTGAAGTCCCTTGAGCCATCCCCTTGGCACTGACCTGGCTGGGAAGAGAGAAAAGGACAAGCCACCCAGTGGAGAAGACCACACAAAGAACCCAGAGTGAGAGGGTAACAGGGACACCTAAATAACATCAAGCACAGGCAGAGGATCCAAAAGAAAAGGGAAAAATCCTGGAACAGGCACTTCGCAGAAGAAGATTCCAAATGGCAAATGGTCAGGAAGCTGGAACATTGCTCCTGAGCTGAAACCAGGAGAGGATACCGCGGCCCACCCACCAGCCTGCAGAAATGAAAGGGCAGGAGATACCAAATGTTGTCAGAGACACAGAGCAACTGTAACTCCCATACAGGCCCAGGGCATAACGGGAACACAATAGCAGGACACTTTCACAGCCTGTGATGCAGTGATTCCATTCCTGGGGTCATACCCAGCAGAAACTATGTATATTCACCAAAAGACATCTTCGCTGTGAGGATGTCCACTGCAGCACCTTTGAATTCAGCCCACAGTGGAAATGGCCCAAAAGTCCATGTTAGGATTTATGTCTGGGTGTTCCCCCAAAGCCTCATGCGGCCAAGGGGCAGGCTTTTAAAGTTTGATTGATTTGGGGTGTGAGAGCTGCACCCGCCCTGGGGTGGATAGTTTGCATATGTAAGGGAGAGGAAAAGAGTGCTTGAGGCCATTCCTGGCTTTTGTGGTTGTTGCTTTAGCTGTGTTCTGCCACCCTGCGCTGTAGCCCTGTGCCACGTGCCACTCTGCCTCATAATCTGCCAAGTACAGACTGAAACCTCCACGAACTGTAAGCGAAATAAACCTTTCCTTCCTTAATTTTGGGCGTTAGGTATTTTGTCCCAGCAACGAGAGAAAAGTAACCAAGACAGTCCATGACAAAGAGAAGAATGGGTGAGTGTGTCTTGGCACAGACGGTGGTGAGAACAAACTATAGCTGCAGGTGTCATGTCATGTGGCAGGCTCTCCAGCATAGCACCGAGCAAAGGCAGCCAGGCACAAGAGTGTGCTGTGTGATTCTGTCACTGGCTCGCATGGGGCACAGCCCATATATGATAGCGATCATACACAGACTAGTTCCACGGGCTCTGCTGGGTGTGATACTTCTGTGTCCTGTTGCCAAGATGTTACCCGCTGGCTCCAGGTTCTTTTGCTCAATGTGTACAGACGTCCCAAATAGGCAAAGTGTAGCTCTTTTCATCCTAACAGCCCTGAGCTTCGAATGCCAGCAGCTATCAGCCGTTAGCATTAGCAGCCCTCTGCTACTCTCTTGACAGCCAGAGTCAGTGGCTCCCCGTCGCTCTCGGGAACTCTTCTGGCCACCAGAGACGGTGGCTTCCAGAAATTCTCCATTATTCTCAGCCTCTCTACCCTGCTAGCTGCCTTCGGTTCCCAGCCCTGGCTGCTGGCTGCTCTCTGCACCCGCAGCCTTTGGAGTTACCAGCTCTAAGGGTATCAGCTCAGCCTGCTCTACGTGAGATACAAATCACAAATAGGTAAAAATATCCCAGAACAAAGCCGGCTGCTGCCAAAGCGGGTATCTTCTGGAGCAGCCTTAGGGCGGCTGATGTAGCTGCTGGCCAGCTGCAATGAGCCAGGGAAGCAAAAAATAAATAAAAGTTACCTATTGGAAATGCCGGGCCCTTCTCTCCTCAGTCTCAATTCCACTGGTATAAAAAGTTCAAAAGCAGGAGAACGCACTCACAGGGCTGGACATCAGGTACCGGTTGTTAGTATCCCTGAGAAGGTCCCTCAGGGGCCTCCGGGGTGCCAGGGTGATGTACTCTCCTGACCTTGCGGCCAGTGACGCAGGCTCATTCGGTTTCAAAACTGGCCCAACTGCAAACCTAGGATTTCCACACTTTTGTGGAGGTATATTTTGATTAAAAGATCTTTTAAAACATCGGGTTCCCTGTACGTGGTGTGGTGCTCAGGTTGCTCAAGCAGTGTTGACCTTGAACTTGCCCAACATGACCTTTGCATTCAGCTGCGTCCAGCTCCGCTGGTGCCACCACTTGAATCATGCTCCCTCCTGTCACGATCTTCCTGGCTCAGTAAACAAACCTACCCGGACAGTTGCTCAGACCCTAAACTGTGTCCCTTTTGGTGACCCCTCCCTTCGCTGGTACCCCATGTCCAATCAGCATAAAGTCCATCCCCTATGTCTTCCAGGGGAATGTGGACATTCTCTACCTCGCCCACCTTGGAGTGTGTGTAGCACCCTCTGCACAGCAGCGGGAGCACATCTGGAGACACCAGTCCGGTCCAGCACTTGGTTATGGTGCGGGTTAAGGTGGAGCAACCCCAGGGACGGCGGAACGCTCTTCCGGGTGTGTCTGGGTAGGTCACGAAGGCCTATCGTTAGGGTCTGTGTCTGGCCCCTGGCCCCTTTCTCTCTGGCTCTCTGGCACTGTTCTCCTGCTCTCTTCCCAGCCACCGTGAACGAAGCAGCTTTGCTCCACCGTGCTCTTCTGCCGTGATGTCTCCGCCTTGGAGCCAGGTGACCACTGACAGACTCCCCTGAGGCTGTGAGCCAAAGTAAACCTCTCCCCCTGGACGTTTGCGTGTCATGTATTGTGTCTCAGTGACCAGAAAGCTGACTAACTGGTCTGTTTATCTGAGGGTTCCAGATTTGGGAGGAGTGCGGAGTGGACGACCCAAGCTCTTCCCCAGCATTTGTTACTGGGGCTCCGAGGAATGGCCCCTCACTCTGGGGCCCATGCACGTCGCCTCCTGGGCCCATCCCCAGCTCACGATGTCCCTCTGTCCTGATCACATCCCCTCTTCTTGCCCCATCCAGGTGTCCCCTTAAGCACCGTGTGAGTGTGATCTGTTCTGCGTGTGCCTCCTCAGCCCTTGGCTCTCTGGCCTGCGTCTCACACCCTCACTGCTCTCCTAGCCATGTCCTCTGCACCTCTGGCACTCACTGGAGAGTGAGCACTGCCCCCCTGTGCACTCTTCATAGCACGGCTGGGGCCTCCCTCAGGGCAGGTGGCACAGCATTTTCCAAAAATAGGCAATATGCCCATGCTTAAAAGTGACTTTGGTTTGCTTGTTCGTTTTGTGGTACTGGAGATTAAACCCAGGGCCTATATGAGGGAGCTATATCCCCACGTCTTTTTTATTTCTTAGTTTTTTTTAACTTTGAAATAGGCTGTTGGTAAATTGCCCAGGCTGGGCTGGATCTTGGAATCCTCCCGCCTGAGCCTCTCAGAGTGCTGGGATTACAAACCTGTCCAACCACACTTGGCTAAAAGTGATTTATTTTTTCAGCACGTGGTTCTAGCTCCAATTCCTAGCATCAAAATAGAGATGATTTATTTTTTTCAAACGGCAGAGTCAACAGGTGATTTTCAAGTTTCTTTTTTCATGCTGTTCGGTTCTGTTGTTGTCTTTGGTTTTTTGAGACAGGGTCTCACTAAGTTGCTCAGGTTGGCCTTGAATCCACAAATTCTATCTCCATCTGCTGAAGCCTGGAATTACGGCTCCACGACTGGCTTTTTTTTTTTCTTTTCTTTTTTATACTGGTTTTCATTTTACGCCTTTCTACAAAGAATATGTGTTGCATGTATCATTTTTAAGGTAAGGTATCAGTTCAAAGTCAAATTCTTTGAGCCCATTTTGTCCCTCTGGGAAAGCACCCCAAAGGAAGAATCCTAAACAAAGGAAAAGAATTTCATAGGAACAAAGAAAGATTTAGTGCAGCAAATCTGAGAGTCCTGAAGAAGGCCCCAGCCGACCCACCTTCTAGCTCTCTCCCAGGTGGGAGAAGAGGGCCGGAGGGCAGGGATCAGCAATGGACCACTCACTGGCTCTCTCCAAGCTGAACTAAAAACGGTGCATGGCTGGTCTACCCCACCATCAGCACTATCCACCGTCCTGTTTCTTTGCCAAATAACGCACTCAGTGCTTTTCTTTTTC